GAAGTGTCTCTCAGGGTAATAGTGTCTCCCAGGGTGGTAGAGTGTTCCCTCGGTGGTGGAGTGCCTCTCAGGGTGGTGGAGTGTCCCCTAGGGTGGTGGATCATCCCCCAGGGTAGTGGAGTGACCCCCAGGGTGGTGGAGTGTCCCCCAGGGTGGTGGAGTGTCCCCCAGGGTAGTGGAGTGACCCCCAGGGTGGTGGAGTGCCCCCCAGGGTGGTGGAATGTTCCCAGGGTAGTGGAGTGTCCCCCAGGATGGTGGAGTGCCCCCCAGGGTGGTGGAGTGTCCCCCAGGGTAGTGGAGTGTCCTCCCAGGGGGTGGAGTGTCTCTCAGGGTGGTGGAGTGTCTCTCATGGTGGTGAAGTGTCCCCTAGGGTGGTGGAGTGTCCCCTAGGGTGGTAGAGTGTCCCCCACGATGGTGGAGTGTCCCTCAGGGTAGTGGGGTATCTCCCATAGTGGTGGAGTGTCCCCCAGGGTAGTGGCATGTCCCCTCAATGGCAGAGTATCTCCCCGGGTGGTGGAGTGTCCCCCTTTCCTTTCTCCTCTGTATGTGTCATTTCCAGGGAACCTTATTCAAGTCTGTGCCTCAAACACCAGACTTAAGGCATCTCCCACACATGCATCTCTAGCCTAAGTCCCAGACCCCACGTACGCAAACACCTTCCTTGAATGTCCCACAACTATCTCGCACTCACACCTGTCTAAAATGAAATGCGTCATCCCTCTCTCGGCCTGGCCTGCCTACCTCCCTCCCCTGATTACCCAAGTTAGAAACCTCAAGGCTCCTCCCAGCTTGTATTTGTCCCCCCAAAGGGAGGGCCCAAGTCCAGTCTAATGCAACCTGACAAAGCTCTCAACGTTGCCTTTGTGGCCCTTCAAGATCCTCCTTGTTGCTCAGCTAGACTGGATAGCTGGCTGACTGAGACCTTTGCTCCTGCCAAGACTCCACACATCTGAAGCCTCTAGGGCTTACATTTGCAGGATGTGGCAAGCGCTTACTTAATCAAAGTCAGAGGGTTTGTTTTGGAACATGACAGAGTCTGGAGAGGAAGGCAGGGGCTTCACAGGACACTTTAAAGTGCTTGAGTTACTTTCTTAACTTAGAATTATTTTTATCTATAAAATACCAAGACAATTCTGCTTAATATTCAGAAGAAGCACTACAGGGGCTGAAGGAGCACCCCCAGCATAAGTTCCAGGAAGGTCTTGGCTAACAGTACCATCAAGATCAGCTTCCAGTGTTTTGTGAATTTTTTTTGAGACAGAGGCTTGCTGTTGCCCTGGGTAGAATGCACTGGTGTCATCATTGCTCACAGTAACGTTAAGCTTCTGGGCTCAATCCATCCTCCCTCCTCAGCCTCCCGGTTAGTTGGGTCTATCTGCCACCACACCTGCCCACTTTTTCTGTTTTAGTAGAGATAGAGTCTTGCTCTAGCTAAGGCTGGAGTTTTAAGTTTCTAAGGTGATGGTTTTAAGTGGGAAACCACTCAAAGGGAATATGCTGGTGTAAAAGTGTCTTGTGTATGGAACTCGTATGCCCCCCTGTATGACCCAACACTGTGGTGCCTATAGCCTGCACACACAGTCCTCCCTGTAGAATGGCACTTCTCTGCACGTGGGCAGATGTGACCCAAGAGCCTGAGCACGGAGCAGGAAGAGGCTGTCCTGTCACTCTGAAGGGGAAAAGCAAGAGAACGCAGCTGCACTTGTACCACATGTGCCTGACACCGGTAGCATGCATCTCTGGGCTAGCTTACTGTCATTAATCCTGCCTATGAGGTGGCCATTATTTGCCCATTTCACAGATGAGGAAATGGAAGCCAGGGTGGTGGGAGGGCACAGGCGGCAGTGATGAGGCCAGGTGTGGGTCTGGTGACTGCAGGACCCATATTCTTCCTATTAGACTGTGCTACCTCTTGCCTTCTCGATTTTGTTTTTACTTGTTCATGCCTCTGTAGGAAAAAGAAGCCTGCCTCAGTCCTTTATTTCAGGGATGGAGAAGAAATAAGTCTGGAGAGCAAAAGGATCCTAGGCCAGTCCTCTGCTCTCAGCAGCCAAGCTCACAAAGCAGGTGTGGACCTGGCCACCCCTGCAGGTCCCCAGCCTGCACACCTATGCCTGCAACAATGTGTCAGGGAGCAAAGGTGGCTGTTCTGCAGGCTGGCCTACATCAGGATGCCACGTTGTTCCTGTGGGGCTCCAGTCCCCTGACCACCAGAGTCAACTGGGGACAAATGTGAGCCACAAAGCACCAAAAAAGGTGCAGGGTTTGGAGACAGGGCTTGGGGGACAGAGCTAGGCTCAGATGCTCTCCAGCTCCTCAACCAAGGGCAGGGCTTTGGAGTTTTTGTGCCTCATTTTCTCAACAGTGTAAAACAGGGGTTCTCAAACTTTTTAAACAGGAGGCCAGTTCACTGTCCCTTGGACCATTGGAGGGCCGGACTGTGGGCCCCGGGACAAGTCGGCTGCTAAGCAGGACAGGCAGTGGTGGCAAAAACACCCAGTGGGCTGGATAAATGTCCTAGATGACTGCAGATAAATGTCCAGATGATGGCAGGACCCATATACTTCCTACCTCTTGTGCTACCTCTTGCCTTCTTGATTTTGTTTCTACACATGCAGCTCGTGGGCCGTAGTTTGAGGATGCCTGGTGTAACATGTTGATTCCTACTTTACTGGATTGTTATGAAGATTAAACACAACAACATGGCCTAGTGCCTGCAGCACGGTGGTTACGGCACCAGCCACATACACTAAGGGTGCTGGGTTCAAGCCCGGCCCAGGCCAGCTAAACAATGACAACTGCAACAACAACAATAAAACAGCTGGGCACTGAGGTGGACACCTGTAGTTGCAGCTACTTGGGAGGCTGAGACAAGAGAATTGCTTAAGACCAAGAGTTTGAGGTTGCTATAAGCTGTGACACCATGGCACTCTACTGAGGGTGACATAGTGAGACTCTGTCTCAAAAAAACCCCAGAATAAACAAACAAAAAAACCAGGCTCAGCGCCTGTGGCTCAAGCGGCTAAGGCGCCAGACACATACACCTGAGCTGGCGGGTTCGAATCCAGCCTGGCCCCGCCAAACAACAATGACAGCTGCAACCAAAAAAATAGCCGGGCATTGTGGTGGGTGCCTGTGGTCCCAGCTACTTGGGAGGCGAAGGCAGGGGACTCGCTTAAGTCCAGGAGTTGGAGGTTGCTGTGAGCTGTGATGCCGTAGCACTCTACCCAGGGCAACAGCTTGAGGCTCTGTCTCAAAAACAAAGAAACAAAAACACCCCCCCAAAACCCCACCACAACATACAGAAAAGGCTTGGCATACAGAGGACATTCTCAAGTATAAGCAGTAATGCTGATGCTGACACAAGAGTCTACTAGTAGTTACTACTGCTGCTCCTGCTTTGCCACTGAAACCAGCCTTAAATGTCTATACATGGCTCATCAAAGTCATTTATCCATTCAGCCGGTAACCCCAAGCCTGATCTAAGCTCATGGAACATGGCAGTGAAAGCAACATAAGATTCTGCTCTAAGGCCAGGTGTGGTGGCTCACGCCTGCAATCCCAGAACTATGGGGGGCCCAGGCAGGAAGACCAGATGAACTCAAGAGTTCTAGACCAGGCTGAGCAACACAGCAAGACTCTCTCTCTACTAAAAATAGAAAAACTAGCCAGGTATGGTGAGCATGCCTATAGTCCCACCTATTCAGGAGGCTAAAGCAGGAGGACGGCTTGAGCCTAGGAGTTTGAGGCTGCTGTGGGCTATGGTTGACACCACTGCACTCTAGCTGAGGCAACTGAGTGAGACTCTGTCTCAAAAAAATTAATTAAAAAAAAAAAAAGACGCAGCTCTCATGGAGCTTGTGCGCTAGTGGAGGGGTGAGGGAATAAAGTCAGGTAATGGTACAGAACGGCGGGGAGTGACGTCAGGTGGGCTGGCCAGAAAAGTTTCACTAAGGATGTAACATCTGATACCTGTAAGACAGGACAGTAGGGAGAGTGACCAGCACCACACACACTTCCATGTGAGGGGCTCAGGGCTGGGAAGAGTCACGGCTCATGCTCCACTGCTCGTCCTCTGGAAGGCTGGAAACGCAGCTCTGCCACTGATCAGGGGCTATGGGCAAGACCTGTCCTTGTTTTCTTGCCAATGTTAAAAGGAGACAGGATCTAGCTCTACCCTGAGCTAAAACAGAAAAAAAAGAAAAAAGAAAGAAAGAAAAAAGGAGATGGGGATGCCCTAGCACTTCCTGGTGCAATTACTAAGAACGCATGGCGAAAACCAGCACTGAAGGTCTGCTAGCTGCAAACTACTGCGCACGTGGGAATGCTGCACACACAGGCACAGCTCTGGGAAGCAGGCCACGTGAGGGGCGCTCCCACTCGGTGGGTGGAGGCCAGTGATCCATCAGGGCTGCTCCGGGAAGCCTCTGCCCCAGCACCAGGTGTACTGGCTCCATGCACACCCACTTCCAGATGGGCAGCACAGACTGCTGACACAGTCGGCAGGAGCCCTTGAGCTTTCTTTTGAAACCACCCGGAGATGACAAACTGGAGCAGGTAACGAACGGAAAGGTACTGTATTAGTAAAGAGGTTACTCTTTTCATTTTGCAGTCTCGACTTGCTCTTTCTTCACATTACCATAACACTAGGAATTCCAACAATTAAAAAGCACCATAGTGGCGATTATAAAAGATCCATTTAGTTTAGGAGACTATTGTACTGCTGCCAAAAAGACAAACTATTATTAGTAAAATTATTCCATGGCAATTCCTTTTTCAAATATGCAACCTCAAATTTCAAACACAAAAAAAGCACACTATGAATTAGAAAATCAAGTGGGAAAGTGTATATAAGATTTATAATTTTCATTTATACATTTATAATTTCAAATACTCAGTGTAAAAATCAGGGCAAGGGCATTTAGGATGACCTTCTCTTCAGTAAAATAATCCTACAAAAACCAGTTAAAAATAAATGATCAGACAGAGAATAGCATTACCATTTGTATTTCTTCTGGGGATAATTCATCTTCACCTTTGCCATCTCCCCAGGTTCCCAACTCAGGTTGTGCTTCAGCCGAATTCTTTTCTGTTTAAAAAATATTGAGACAGAAGGCCAAATATTCATTTTAGAATAGATTGGTTAGGATGCAGGGACACTACAATCACCAGAAGGACAGAAGCTCACAGCTTTGTCTGCATCTGATTACCTGCTGGCTAATATTCAGGCATGGCAGGTGTGATTCTGCCACCACACATAAGCCGGCCACTGCATGTGCACAGGTGCATGTGTGTGATGAGGAGGAGGACAGAGGTACAGTTTCAACGTTAAACTCATGTCAGCAACGGCTGCAAACTGCATGCACGTTCTTTAGAACCAGTTTTAAAGTGCTTTACTTTAAGACACATATGCTTACACTCTTTCCTCTACTTTATTATTTTTTTTTTTTGGTAGAGACAGAGTCTCACTTTATTGCCTAGGTAGAGTGCCGTGGCATCACATAGCTCACAGCACCCTCCAACTCCTGGGCTTAGGTGATTCTCTTGCCTCAGCTTCCTGAGGAACTGGGACTACAGGCACCCGCCACAATGCTATTTTTTTGCTGCAGTTTGGCTGGGGCCAGGTTTGAACCCTCCACCCTTGGTATGTGGGGCTGGCGCCCTATCCACTGAGCCATAGGTGCCGCCCAACTCTTTCCTCTACTTTTAAAGGTTGCAAAAACATATAAATATTCTCATTGTTGGGTGGCGCCTGTGGCTCAAAGGAGTAGGGCGCCACTCCCATATACTGGAGGTGGCGGGTTCAAACCCACCCCGGCCAAAAAAGAAAAGCCTGCAAAATATTCTCATTGTAAAAATAAATGAATAAATACATAAAAAATATACATATATACAAATAAAAATACAGCAAGTGATATACCACTCCCCAATCTATTACTCTTCCAGAAGTTACCTGCTCTGATGTACCTTCATAAACTTTACGAGTATATTCACATACAATACACAGCCCCTGCTCACCCCAATACCCAGAAATAACACAGTTTTGTGTGTATAGTCAATGGTAACATATGATTTATCAACATATCTTGGAGGTCAGTCCATATAGATCTACCTCATTCTTTAAAATTGCTGCCTGATATTCTAATGTAAAGGTTCACTGTCTTTTATTGTTGGGTAATACTGTTATGTATTCTTGGGAGCAAAGACAACAGACACTGTCACAGGAACAGATCTGTTTTGCTCCTAATGCCCCTAGGCCAATCTGGGAGAACATATTCAACCATCCTAGAGTCTAGTTATTGGACATACAAGGTACCTAAAGAGTTTGGGATGGACATATAGACACTAATGTTTGTTGAGGGATTTTTATGGTGCTAGGCTTTGAAGATAAAACTATTCTTTCTGTAACCATAACTCCACGGATAATCCTTCTGTTACTTCAGGATTTTTCTCTAGTTTGTGCATGCTGGACAACTTCTCTGGGACAGAGCCCTCAGCGTGGAGCTGCTCAGGGGATGTGTATGGATATTTTAATATAGAGAACTTTTTTTTTTTTTTAAGACAGAGTCTCAAGCTATTGCCCTGGGTAGAGTGCTGTGGCATCCTAGCTCACAACAACCTCTGACTCTTGGGCTCAAGTGATCCTCTTGCCTCACTTTTTCTATTTTTAGTAGTGATGGGGTCTCACTCTTGCTCTGGCTGGTGTCCAGCTCAAGCCATCCACCTGCCTTGGCTTCCCAGAGTTCTGGGATTATAGACATGAGCCACTGCGCCCAGCCCAGAGAACTTTTTGAGAATGATCAGATAAAACATGATAGACCCTCCATGAAGAACATCAACACCATGAGCTCCCAGAAAGGACTGCTGTCACCTAGGACATGGGAGAGAGATCTGCACTGCTCATAAAAGAAGTGGAGTGGGAACAGAGGGGAGAGGGATGGCAGGGATCCATCCAGGGTCACCCTGTGTCTGCCTGCGTTAGCCATTGTCTCTGGGCTTAGCAGTAAGTTGCAGGGCACTCAAGGGTAAACACGGATTCTTTTCCCTTTCTTCCTTAACCTCAGTAAATTTCCCATTGTTGCTCTTAGCCCCATGAGAAGGGGATAAGTCTAGGGTTTTTTAATAGGAGAAAAAAGCATAATGATAACAATAATCTAATTACTTTTATTTTGAGACACAGTCTCACTTTGTCTTCCTTGGTAGAGTGCTGTGGCATCATAACTCACAACAACCTCGAACTCTTGGGCTCAAGTGATCCCCTTGCTTCAGTTTTTCATTTTTAGTAGAGACAGGGTCTTACTCTTGCTCAGGTTGGTCTTTAACTCATGAGTTCAAGTGATTCACCTGCCTCGGCCTTCCAGAGTGCTGGGATGACAGGTGTGTGCCATTGTGCCCAGCGGTAACAATAATTTAAAGAAAGCAGATCAAGCAAAAAGTCAATGGCTATTATTGGAAAGCAGCCATGCTTACCACCATGCCTCCAATGCTGCTCCCAGGTATGGTTATTATTGGTAATATGTCTTTACACACACACATACCCACACACACACAAATAAATAAATAAAAATGTGTCACTTTTTTAAAAGTGCAGGCTTTTGAAAAAGGGAGGCGGCTAGAAAAAGATGTTGTAGGCTTGGTGCCTGTAGCTCAGTGAGTAGGGCGCCAGCCACATACACCAAAGGTGGAGGGTTACAGTCCAGCCTGGGCCTGCTAAATAATAATGACAACTGAAACCAAAGGAAAGCTGGGTATTGTGACGGGCACCTGTAGTTGGGAGGCTGAGGCAAGAGAATCGCTTAAGCCCAAGAGTTGGAGGTTGCTGTGACATGTGACACCATGGCACTCTACTGAGGGTGACAAGGTGAGACTGTCTCAAAAGAAAAGAAAAGAAAAGAAAAAGATGTTATAAAAGAGTGGCTGAAAGCATCTTCTGAAACTGATAGGGTGTTTTTCTGAGATGTTCTTTAGGCAGGAGCATTTGTATTTTCATTCACCCACCACTGGCCCCAAGAGTTCCCTCTCTGACCTGTTCTCACTGTGGTCCCAATACAAGTGTTTCCTGTTGTAGATTTTACCAAAACACCAAAACCAGAGACATAGCAACCTTATTTATACCCAAACCAAGCACAGATTAACTCTGAGCTAGACAAGAAAGTTGTTAGCAGAACTTACACTCTCACATGCAGGTCATGAAGCCTTCTTGACCTGCTGCTCTAAGAACCAGCTAGAAGCCCAGTGCTCACCACTCCAGACTGTCAGTGCCCTGGTGCCACAACAGCTAAGTGCAGACTCCTTAGTCTGGCATTTAAGGACTTCAAAGCGCTGGCTCCAGCCTGCCTTTCCCAACCTTCTCCTCTCCTCCCCTTTCCTGTGTGTCTTGCCCCCAGTGTTCTCGTCACTGACTCTATCTAATCCCCTTACGTCCTGCCCCTGGGCACGCCACCTCTGGGCACGTATTTGTGCTGCTCCCCACCTAAGGCAGACTCCTCAGTGCCGCGTCCCTTGGAGGCTCCCTGACACTGCCTGAACTCTGTTCTTTCACCTCGGCCCTCCCCCATTAGGGCACTACTTACTTTCTCCCAGGGGCTGGCATCTTACTCTTCCTGGCAACTGTGAGCTCCCTAAGGGCAGGACCCAGGGGCCACTTGAGAAGAGAGGTGGTAAGTACACAAACTCCAAACCCTTCCTAATGCTAGGGGAGGTCGGTGTTAGGAAACAAACTGCAAATGGGTATGAGGAGATCTCATCCTGGCTGGGCAGGGTGCTGAAGGCAAAGGCCTAAACATCAGATATGGACAGAAGGTCAGCTGTGACCACCAAGGTGCTTAGAACTGCTGACTAAATGAAAAAATAATAAAAGCAGTGCCTTTTAAAAATAGGAGTGTTGACAGGTAAGATGCTGTCCTCTGCTGGAAAATAAATCACCTTGTCCTATACCAAAATATATTTTGTCTAAGATACATTGCAAGTTTCAGAAGAAAAATGAAAAAACTGAAAAGCAGACCAGGTGCTTGAGCAAGAGTGAGACCCCATCTCTATCAAAAATAGAAAAATTAGCTGGGTGACGTGGTAGGTACCTATAATCTCAGCTACATGGGAGGATGAAGCAGGAGGATCATTTGAGCCCAGAAGTATGAGGCTGCTGAGCTAGGCTGACATATGGCACTATGGCACTCTAGCCTGGTGACAAGAGTGAAATGCCTTCTCAAAAAAAAAAAAAAAAAAAACCCACACAAAAATGAACAAAAGTAAAGGTTAAAAAAATTATTAACTGTAGATGAACTTAGTGGGATGTCCATTATCAGAAAGAAATCATCTTCCAACTGGCACAAAGGCAAGGGCAGACACACGGCCCTTTAAACCTATGTACCTGCCAACATCAAGGCTGGAAGGGAGTGAGAGGGTCAAAGGCCCTAGAGAGCAGGAAGTGCATGGGAGTCAGGGAGGCCTCTCCCAGGGCTGGCCCTGGGCCTGCTCCTCTGTCCCCACACCTTTTCTTTGTGGAGACACCCAGGACCAGGGCTCTCAGTCGCTCATTTCTAGCCCTGAGCTCTTCTGGTTCACTCCAACACTGACTCACTGTTTCCACCTGAAGATGGAGATGCCCTGACGTGTCGGTCAGCATTGCAATTCCATTCCTTGGCCACTCCTCCCAGCTCGCTGCCAACCTCAGCCCACCATCCTTGGCTCAGGCAGCAATCCACTTTCTACCAGCTGCCCCAGCCCCAACCCTACAGTTGCTCTTGCTTGCTCTCTGTCCCCTACTTCTCACAGCCTCTTGCCAGCTCATCCCAGGATCCAAAGCACAAGTGCACACCTCTCTCCACCTCTGTCTGGCCCTGTCCGTCCCCTCACTGCAGATACCATTTTCCCACACCTGGGCCGCCGCAGGTGGCCTGATCTGTGTAGCTGCCTCTACTCCTGTGCCTCACAGCAGACATGAGGGGGTTAGAATGGGAACCAGACCAAGTCTCTCCCCAGTTTAAAACGTTCTGGGGATTTTTACTGCACCTAGAGTCAAAGTCAAACACTGTGCCAGGGGCTGGGCCAGGTCTCTGCTGCCTCCGGTCTTTCCTCAACCTGCCTTGC